CCCCAATTCATATTCCACCGAGCCGCGCAGAGATGCGCGCGGTAGACAGGTCTCCCAGGTCCTTGCGTTCTTCTGCCATTGACCTGGAGCTGCTGCAGCTCCAATGCCTCTCGGGAGGGCGGCCTGCCGGTTTGGTTTTAGGGCGGGCGCCCGGTGCTGTCAAGCGCGGCGCCTCCCCCGTGTCGCCGCGCCCCCGCGTCGGGAGCTTGGCCCCCGCGCGCGGCCTGCACGGTTTGGAGTAGCTCTGGTTTTCTCGAGACTCCGCAGAAGTGCGCGACGCCGCATGTTCTCGGCGTTTCCATGGCGCTCGATTTTGACGTGTTTGCGGGGCGCGAGAATTTCGAAATATTTCGGGATGCGCGGGCCGCGACGCGCGCGGACGTTATTCGTTCATTTTCTCGCTTGGACTTCTGGAAAACAGATTCGAGGGCGAAGCGCGCGAGCATTGCATTTGTCGTGCAATGGGCGAGGGGGGGAGGTCGATGCCAGTGTGGCTGGGATGATATGGGCTCAAGACTGAGTTAACGATGATGCAAAATCACACGTGCATTCCACATCCCAAGGGGGGGTCGCCCCAGGGTTAGATCTTAAGTCTTTTCTCAGAAAAAGGTCAATATCTGCAGTGCGCAACCTACGTGGTGCAATCGTCGCGCTGTCTAGCTGCGGGCGTGCGCAGCATGATGGCAACGTCGCGACACAGGCAGACGCGATGGTGATAGATGCGATGCTGGCGGCGATGGTGGCAATGACGGCGGCAAGGCTAATGGCGGCGCCGATGCTGATCACGCTGATGGCGATGATGACGCCCATGCGCCGGCGATAAATGGTTTTGGGAGGATTTCGACATGCGCGCGCGGCCGACGGGCGCGAGTGGCCCGCATGGTGGTCCTCGACATGGATCGCCCCACCCCCCAGCACGCGCGCAAGAGCGTTCGAAATGTTCCAACATGCGCGCGCGAAGGAACCGTTTGGTCGCATTTGATGGCACGGTTGAAAGCTAATGCTCTCCAAAGAGTTCGCGAGAGCGTGCGCTGATTATATCGAAACGAAACATGTTGCAAGACGATGTGCTTTCCCAGAACTTTTTCGGGGCCTCGCGTATGAAATTTGCTCGAAACAGGCGTTTTCTGAGCGGTCCACGGATGGGCGCGCAACGACGCGCGCGCGGGCTTTGTCCCTCTTGTCGCAGGGGGTTCGTGCCAATTCATGACCTGCGATAGGCGAGTGTGCGCGCATAGTCCTCTTTCCAATCGATAACGGGACGAACGCGCGCCAGTTTGGCTGGGACGACGATGCGAAATTATCTTCAGAACTAACGACCGTGCAGAATCATGCGTAAACTCAACATCCCCAGGGATATGGCTAAGTCCGGCTTCGGGGGGGCGGTGGATCCCAATTCTTTTTCAGAGAGGAGCACCGACGTTGTGCAATTCACGTTGCCGACCTTGAAGTAGTCAGCTCCAATGCTCGCGCAGTCATCCCACGCGCCCATCCACAACTTGGTTTACAAGACCCACGCAGCAGCGATTGCGATGACTGCTCGGCGCTGGTTGGCGCATCGCCGCGGTCGCGCAAGTGCTTAGCGCGCGTGCTCGCGCGCAGAGCGGCCAGCTACTTCGGCGCGACCGACGCGGCCGCGATAGCGCTGACCGCTGGGCGTTTCCCGGCCGGCGCACGCTTCAATTGGAGCCGGCGATTTGGGCGGGCACGATATCATGGCAGCGTCGACAACGGTAGGCACGACGGCGGGGGTGGCGATGTTAGCGACGACGGTGACAGAGTCGACGGCGAGGCCAGCGCGGCCGACGCGCGAGAGCCGCCCGCACGGTATGATTTGACGCGGATCGCGCCTCCCCAGCACGCGCGCAAGGGCGTTCGATTGATGTCGAAATGTGACGTGAGAGGCTTGTTTGGCCGAGTGTAGTGGACACGTTGAAACACTTATGGTTTTCTTAAGAAATCGCAGAGGCGCGAGCACAGGCACGTTTGAAAACTGGCGTTGCAAAGCCACGCGCGCTTGCATGTTTCTCGGGGCGCTCGATTCTGAAATCTCTCCGAAGGTTTTCGAAAGATGCGCGCGCGCGACGACGCGCTCGCGCGCGCTCGCCCCGTCAGTTGCAGGGGATTTCTGCGACAGCACGCGCGCGAGGGTGTTCGAGCAACGTCGACGTGCGCGCGCGAGAGGCACGTTTGGTAGCACGTGATGATCAGGTTGAAAATGATGGTTTCCCCAGGAATCTACAAAAGCGGGAGCGCAGGCTCGTTTTGAAACGTTCTTGGTTCGAAGCCATTTGTTTTTATATGATTCGGGGCACTCGGTCTTGAATCTCTACGAGAAGTCCCTTGTTCGAAAGATTCCGACATGCGCGCGCGACGACGCGCGCGCACAGTCACCCACTTGCGCTTGCAGGGGATTTTTGAGAACTGATGGTTGTTGATAAACGAGCGTGCGCGCATAGACTTGTCGCAGAGGATTGCAGGGGGGTGGTGCCATTCTAGC